GTGGGAAAAGTTTTTAAGCCAATTGTGTCCGGCTGAACCTGATCGAGGTGTTAGACTGAACTCTCTCTCCTGCTTTTTCTCGTCAATAAGCTTCAGAGTGGTGGCCAATGACAGCGCCTGTAGCTCCCGGTCCACGTGCCAGTGGTTCCACTGCGGGCTCTGTGCGTAGATTTTGGTCAGACCTTCGCTGTACAGCGGGTGACCTGTGGTTATTTCAAGCATAATTAGCTTTATTAGATATTTCGCTTGATACTTTTAATTGCTTCGATCATCAAAGTTTAATGAATAATAAATTTAAGTTATTTTTCGTTTAATTTAGCTAGCTCTAAATTTAGTTAGTATTCATTTGTTGAAAATAAATGTTTTGCATATAGATTATACAGTATAATATTTGTTTTATTGCATGTAGCATGTATTGTACTGTATTTGTATTATTATCAAGAATAATTATAGTTTTTATTGAATCCATAGAATTCATAAATCAATAAATGTTATTTATATAAAAGTTGAATTTTGAAATATAGTTCATTATGTCAAACTAAAATAAGTTCAAAATAAAACTCGTATTAATTATTATAAGTGTCACAAAAATCAATCATTTAAACTAGACTAAAACTTTTGTTATAATTATTTATAGGGCTAAAGAATATAATACCACTACACTAAAGATACAGAATAGTAATATTTTAATATTAATTTACTCACAATCCGTTTAATATGCTACATTCCCACATAAATTGTAGTAAACAATTGAAAATCAATATAACTGGTAGACTAATGGCATAGAAACTGAATTTCGTATGGCATAGAAACCATTATTTACAAACGTGCTGTTATTGTACTTCAGTCGCAATTATTTGATTCAAATCTAAGAACTAAGTTCTGTATAAATAATTTATTAATATAAGTTTCACTCCTTTTATGTAAGATATTTGTGAATAAACAGGTTTATCTCAAATCGTAATGTATACAGTATATTTCTAAACTACAGTATTGTATTTAATAATCATTTATAGTTGCGAATGAAAGTGAATACAACTTTGAAAGGAAGTTCACACTAATTATTATCCAGTGATTTGAAAACAAGTGGACAATAGTAGTCTGGTGTTTGTGTATGTCCTTCAAAACAGTGTATAATGTTTAAACATGCATATAAAATTTTAATAAAATCAGTACCTCCCAGAAAATAGCGTATTATAAGCCATATAATGATAATCTTAAAAGTAGTCATTAACTCAAAAAAGTCATTACACATGGAATTAATTTTGGGGCCTATTATTGAGTTCAAGTTTTTTTTTATAGTTTTTGATATCGTTACTACTGTATTGTCAAAGTAATTGTTTTTTATGCGAGAATGTGTATGAAAATAAATGTAAATAATTTGATGTGAAGTTTTATGGGATATCATTAGATTTATTAATGATAAAAAAAATACTACTCAGTATATAAACATTTTTGTGTTTCTCAATCTGAAAGTCATAAACAATTTAAATGGAAAGACATTCAAATTAGAGCTCCTTTATAGTGGCAAACATTTTTACAATAACACAATACTTATATAAAATTTCATAATAATTACTACAGTATTAGCATTAAATTGAATAAATTGTCAAATATTTTTCAAAGTTTATATTTAAAGTAATAAAAAACAAAATCTCATTAAAATGTCAAAAACACTATCTAAAAATGCAATATTTACTATACATATCAAATAAAACCTTTAAAGTCTGTTAAGAGACTTATATTTGTATACTGTTTCAAATACATAAAATCTTACCTTGTTGCGATCGGGTCTTATAATGGTTAGCCTGTCTGGACCTGGCCTCGCATTCCGAGTACCAGTTCATGGCTTTGTTCGCGTCTTTGAGTGCATCCAAATTCTTGGGTTTTTTAAATCCATTGCCCATAATATAGACGTAAGCGGAAAATGGCTCAAAGTTTTCCGTATATTCAGTCTTCCTGAGGATCTTCTCGTGAATCTTAGGTGTCGAGTCGACGGCATCCACTTTCGTGGCCACAATCGGTGGCTCGATATTCATGTACTCCACTTCATTGCCCTTTTTAGGCCAATCAAATGAGGAACCGTACCTCGCGTTACCCAACTGTCCATTCGTTTGAAAGATATTTATTAAAAAGTGTTTAATAGTTTGTTTTCCAATCAATGATACAAAAGTTTTTGCTTACTTTTGGTGGTGCGTGAGAGTGATTGCGATTACCATGCGGAACGTTGCCCCAGGTATAATTCTGTCGATATTCAGTGTTCGGGCAAACTTTCTGATCACTCATTTTCAATATGCAACACAATTATTATATTAATGATAAATGTGTACAATAATGATAAAGTGCTCACAACAGCACTTTCATAGGCTATTCAAATCTGTTGAAACTTATATGGGTTTTCGCAATAAGTTTAACACTTTTTTGGTGACAAAAACTTATTCTTTGAGAAACTATTAGCGAAAACACATGAGATTTTCCAAATGCTCGTCAATATTGGACTTTTTGTTGAATAGTAATGTGAAGTCAAGTCTAACAAAAAAGAAATACTGATTTCAAGTGGTCTTCGTGTCGACGATCACTAAAAAATGGTTGAGTCATAGAAAGTCTCTGCGAAGCGCTCGGAGTTATTGATTGAATCCTAATGTGAGTCTCAACGGGAACTACAGTCACGACTCCTATGCACACAATTCACACTTTATATGTATAACTGTTTAAACACTATACGGTATTTCACTAAATATTTTAAATATTATGTAAAATATTTGTATAGAAAACATTCACTTCAAAAAACAATCAAGTCTATTAATCACAACCTTGCTAATGTGAATTTCTATAGAGTCTATAGTATAGACATTCATTTGGATACTACGCAGTGTACAATAGCATACAATAATGTAGTAAACAAGTAGTATATAGTAGATCCTTATCCAGCACACTATCTAAACGCTCATTTGAGTATTTTTTTTCATCGATCGTAATATCCATTTATCACTTGTTATTGTGAATTGTTTTTGTCACTCATGGATGACACCAATGGATGGCTTTTCGAGAAGTTTACAAATTTAATAACTTTTGACTAAATCATAAATATCGAGAAAAACAAAAATAAAATAATTTAAATCAAAGGTCACGCAAACATACAATTTGAAC